TCGAAATGTCAGTGCTACTTGGCCAAATGGCATCGCCAGCAGAGTATTGATTTCGATTCTCAATCACGCAGTCAAATTGACAATTTTCGTTATTGGACTTACATGGATCGCACACTAACCTTGACTTTCAAAACAAAATGTCAGCGAGGGGAATGACTTGGGCATGCAAAGCACAAATGAAAATAAAAATACAAATACAAATAAATACAAATAAAGACAATAGTCAGTAAATAAATAGACACACAAAAGAAGCCAGCGAAACAGAAAACCATTCGCAGTCAATCAATCGGACAAGCCGTACAAATTGTACATTTTAAACGGATCAAAACGATTGATCGGCGTGGGCGGGGGGATAATGCTGATCAAGGGGGCGGGGCTGTGCAATTAGAGGGACACCATCGAAGATCTCAAGGCGAGCATTATTAAAAAACACACCTTGCCGAAGTAGAAATCTGGTGACGATCGCACCCGCGATACAAACTGAAAGATACTGAGCCACAATAAATGATTAGGTTTTGTAGAAGGGTAACCCAAAACTGTTGAAAATGGCTTCATTTAAATTTTGCTTATTTGCTGGTAATTTTTTATATATTTTAGTTGATTAAACCTTAGAAATTTAAATTAGTTTAACCAGTTTTCGATCTTAATGATCACAATATCACTACGATTCGTCACCCACTCCAAACACCCAAACAGAAAATTGAAACGCAGGCGAGTAAACAGCTGAAACAAATTACCAACAATTGCCATTTAAATGTGTGTTCCATTACCGTTTAATTGACCCGTTCTGCTAACTTATCTCTCTTTAGAGGGAGTCGAGTGTGATTGATTGATGGATAAGGGGATAAGACGGCCCAAAGAGGCCCACTCCAAGAGCTTGATAATCAATCCCCAGCATCCAGTATTCAGTATCCAGTATCCAGTGTCCAGTATCCATTGTCCATTTATCCATTATCCAGCTGAAAGATACACGCGGAATGAGGGGCTACTCCACTTCTACTTGTAGTTCGGCGCACCCAAAAACCAGCAGTTCTTTTAGAGATCGTTTTCGAGCGATAAGATTAGAGGGCGGCCAATTGAACCGAACTGAACTGAGCTGAACTGAACTGAACTGAGCCAAACACCAACAAAGGCAATGCAAAAACGCCCACGCCAAAAGGCACAGACACAGAAAATTAAGCCCGACTTTTGGCCAAAACGGAGCCAGAAGTTTGAGCCAAAAATTCCTAAACTCAGTTGAGAGACACAGTGGTCGAAAATAAGCTTATTATGCTTAAACAATAGTTCTTATTCACTGAATTCGTTCCGGATTTCATTTTTTTTGTATTGTTTGTAATTGGCAAGTTTGGCCACTTATAAATTAATAATGCCAGGCAATAGTATGTATACTTTTTGATATGCGGATAACATTTGGGAACAATTAACATGTATGATGTTGTTTGGTAGTTAAAAATTGTGTGACATTCATTTTAGTTTTTCCCTTTTTTCGAATATAAGTTCTTTTTGACTGAGCTCCTGTTTTGACAAGATTTTTACTTGTACACCGTACATACGTACATACATTTTGACCAGTAGATTGATGTTTTTACATTGCTGTTTTCCTGGGCCTTTTGCCATTGCTCTATCGATCTCCCGCTGACAGTTTCCTTCCTGCACACACTCTGAGCTGTCCGCACACTTCCCGGAGCCACTGTCTCCTGGGGAATATGTGTTGGCGTCGTCGGTCGATTGGTTTCAATTTGTTTCCCATTTAAACACAGTCATGTGGCATGTGGCCGAAGTCGAAGTCGAAGTCGAAATTTCGACGCAGATCGTATGCTACACACAAATAAGGAAGCAATTTGCTTCTCTCTTTTTTCCAGCCACAGACTTCAAGTGAGGAAACGAAGCGAGACTCAAGTGAACTGGGCAAAAATCAGAGCTCAAACTCGCAAATTCGCAGACAAATTATGCGCAAAGCCGCCAACGCAGCGCCAGTGGAATAATCAAAAAAACAAAAATACAAAAAAATGAAATAAAGGGTAGAAAAACCCCTGAGTTCCATGCCAAAATTGGGCAATCGAGCCAAGAATTTCTGCGTCTGGCGCAATCGTGTGCAAACGTTCATTATTTATTATTATGCATGCCAAGCGACACCTTTTCGCTGATTGATTGACTGACGGATTGACTGAACAATCTCCGCACATATATTCCTCGATCCAGAGGATCTATCTTTGGCTGTCACATGTCAAGGACGAAAATGACGATGATGATGATGGCTGCATAAATTTGCATAACGAGAAATGCGAACAATTGCAAATCATTGGAGCCAAAGCTTTCACAGACACTGAGGAAATATTGTAGTTCCTTTTCTTAAAACAAAAATTACATCCAGATTTATTTGAAGACGTTGTCCGTTTTCAAAAGACAAATGTAAAAATTATTAAAAAAATTATTAAAATTTAAAATTCTGATTTTCAGACTTTTAGAGTATCAAATCTCAGTCTTCATAAAAAATGACAAAAATTTAACCCAAAAATACAAACCAAGATTTTAACACAGATTGTTAGAGAATTAAACCACTATTATTTTGAAGTATGCCACTTTGAAATCGGATGTCTGTAAGAAAAGTTATGAGAGTAGAAGTGCAGTTTTTGGACCCTTTTCAGCAAACCCATTTTTTGAAAATTTGGAAAGGGGTAACATTCAAAAAATTGACAAATATTCGACCCAAAAAAAAAATTAAACGAAAAACACAGATTTTTAGGGAATCAAACCACGATCATTTTGAAGTATGCCATTTAGAAATCTGATGTCTGTAAGAAAAGTTATGAGAGTGGAAGTGCAGTTTTTGGACCCTTTTCTGCAAACCCATTTTTTGCAAATTTGGAAAGAGATAACATCATAAAAATGACGAATAATCGACCCAAAAAAAATTTTTTTAACTAAAAACACAGATTTTTAGGGATTTAAACCACGATTATTTTGAAGTACGCCACTTTGAAATCGGGTGTCTGTAAGAAAAGTTATGGGCTTAGAAGTGCAGTTTTTGGACCCTTTTCAGCAAACCCATTTTTTGAAAATTTGGAAAGGGGTAACATCAGGAAAATTACGAATAATCGACCCAAAAAAAAAATTTTAACTAAAAACACAGATTTTTAGGGAATCAAACCACGATCATTTTGAAGTACGCCACTTTGAAATCGGGTGTCTGTAAGAAAAGTTATGGGCTTAGAAGTGCAGTTTTTGGACCCTTTTCAGCAAACCCATTTTTTGAAAATTTGGAAAGGGGTAACATCAGGAAAATTACGAATAATCGACCCAAAAAAAAAATTTTTAACTAAAAACACAGATTTTTAGGGAATCAAACCATGATCATTTTGAGGTATGCCAATTTGAAATCGGATGTCTGTAAGAAAATTTCTGAGCTTAGAAGTGCAGTGTTTGGACACTTTTTCGAACCCCTTTGCATTATAGAAATACCGAAAAATCGACCCAAAAATACAGACCACAAAATGGAAAAAAAAAACACCGTGACTCATGATCCTGCAAAAGGGGTACTTGTGGTCAAGTATTTTTTAGAGTGCAACTGCAACAACAGCCGCATGTTGCATGTGGTCGTCGACAAAGTTGCTCTTCATATTTCAGCGGCGCAACTCTGTCGCCATCCATTCCTCGTTTTTTTTTTGTGTATCGCCGCTTATCGCGATTTGTAACAAAATGCTGCTGAATAATTTTCGTATTTTTTCTTGTTTTGTTTCATTTATTTTTTTGCAGCAGCATTTGTTTGTTGTTTGCTGCCAGCTTTGTTTGCATTTCAATGTCTTTCTGTGCTTTTTGCGTAAATATTTGCCATTTTATAGCGGGTATCTTTATCGATATGGGAGCCAGCAACGAATTTTAATGTTTAATTAGCCCATTACGACAGGTCATCTCATCCGTTGGTCGTTTGAAGAAACAAAGCCTAATGAACTTCCGTTTCGCCTTGGCCAAGTCTGTAAACTGACTGGGAAAAAAGCCAAAAAGAAAAGCACAATTTGGCAGGGGAAAAAGTGGCACACAAAGCTGAACTTACAGTTCCTCAGCTTCAAATCTGATTATATAAATATTTTTTTGAAAATATAAAAATATGTAAATTTCATAAAAACTACCAATATAAAAAGAATGGATATTGGATTGCCTGACTAAATAGTTTAAATAGTTATACTCATTACTCCTTAAATCTTGTTAAATTCTAAATGAAACGTAAATCAAACTACCTGACTTCCGAAGAGGATTTTGAGAACTTAACGAATATAAGCCAAGTCAAATGAAAATTCTATTCCAAAACAGAACCAGTTCTCCATCTCGGATCTCTGAAAACAGACTGCTCATTGCCTCTAGTTACCCCATAATCAAGTTATTCGTGCGCATGTCAGCCGTATCTCTCCATCTGAATCAAGTGGCAAACGTTTGACATTGTCTGCATCTGATTCGCATTCGTGGATTCCATTTGATTGCCAGAACAGAACAAAGCCACAAAGCTAAAGCCGATCCGAAACCGCATCGGAATAGCAGTAACAAATTTGCATTTAATGTGGTCATAAATGACTGCAATTAACAGGCATTTTCGAGCGGTGCCCACGCACTTAAGATGCCTCTAAAGAAAATAAATATCACAATCAAGTACCGCCTGTCTTCGGTCTTCGGTCGTCGGTCTTTCCGACTCCAATCTTCTGTCTTTAGTCTTCTGTATGTGCAGTGATTGTTGTTTTAATTAACGAGCTCAACTCGAAATCAATTGCTTCCAAAGGCATGCATTACTGCACCGAAAAAAACAGATCATTATTCTTTTAAGTGCCATGAATATTATAAACATTTTTTACAAAATATATGTTAGTCAGGAAACAAGTTAAGGCAGTTGAGATCAGATGCTTAAGTATCAGAAGGACATTTGTTTTCTTGCTACACATCTTTAAACTTTTAACAATAAATTATTCAGAATTTTAAATTGAAAAAATATACAAATACATGTGCACCTCTGATTTGTTAACACCAAATTGATGCTAATTTATTTAATATATTTAATAGATTGGTTCCTTTAGACCTTTCACATCAATCATTTTGGTGGTTCTGCGGTGTAAGCCTTAGATCCCTCATCACTGCCAGTTGGCCAAATGTAAACCAGTAAGATTGTGACCAGTATTACGGCGATTAGGCCCAGAATGATCATCATCTTCGCATTGGCCCACCAGTGTTTGCGCTTCAACCTGCCAGCCTGTCGAACGAATTGGGAGGCGTTCAGTTTCAGTTGGTCAGCTCGTTCCGATAGTTCTGATAGTGTCTGATCGCGTTCCAGGACCTTCTCCACATTCACCCTCATTATCCCGACCACTTCGTCCACTTGGGCCTGGGTGTCCAGAAGCCTCTTCTGAGCATCACCATTGGTTTCCAAGGCGAACTCCCTCATCTCCATATTCACATCCATCATTCCAGTAGCACAAGTTTGTGTAGGCAGTTCAGTTTTTAGAATGACGACAAAACGCTGTAGTCAGAGCCCTCCTTGATCATCAATATTGTTAATATTGTTTGCCAAATGGTAATCATTAATGGTACTTATTGGAATATAAATGCTTTTTCCACCATCAAATTGGCTTTACGATACATACTAAATCTTATCTAGAAATATTCCCCAAAGACGTGCCTTCTTATTTCTTCGAGTGATGCCTTAGCTTTTCTGTTTTTTCCTTCTGTTGCTGATGGGGCTGATCTACTTGAGCACTTCGGCTTGGATTTCATCTGTCTAATCTGGGGTCTCTGCGATCTGCTAGAGACATTGAACACGGCTGCTCCAAATGCTCAATACGGTTGCCAGTTGTGCCAGCTTGTTTATTAGCCCAAAAGCGAGCGAGTTCGCCTGTTCGCTTGGCATTCGCTTTTGGATAATTATTTATTAAGGTTTTACATAACGCAGCCATCTGTCTGTCCCTGTCCCTGTCCCAGAAAAAATACACTACATACACTGACTTTAACTAATTCAAGGTTGTTCTTGCATAGACGACGAAGCGAAGAAATAGATACAGCTGCAGGTACACAAGAAAAAACGAGCAGTGCACATGCCACTTTCAGTTGTGAACTATGTATTGAACTTTTTTAGCAAATAGTTTATAGTATTGCCAACATTTTTTAATCAAGCGATCAGAACACTTGTTAATAATGTGATTTAACTGAATTTATTAAGAGTTTTTAATTCATGTTCACTACAAAATGAAAACAAGCCCATTTGTAGAAGGTGATAATAACAGGTTGAAGTCAACAAGAAATTCATAAAAATTGGTACCCCTTTAGAGTAAAGATTTGTTTTATTTAATAACTAGAGTATTTTCTTTCAGTGCTCAGCCTTAGTCACTGATGCGAATGCAGATACAGATGCTTGTAGAGATCTGGGGAAGAGCTGTTGTTTCGCCAGCTAATGGATAGAGATATAATTTGTGCGAATGTCGAACCCGTCCCTGAACTGTGAACTCTCCGTTTTAAATCAAGATCTTTTAGTCTGCGCTGTCAACTCATTTCGGCTTAACGTCTTTACTTGGTTATTTTTAGCACTAGAAGTTTCTGTAAATTTTAAACAATTTTTGGTCTATTGTATTAAGTAAACGAGTCGTAAAACCAATAGAAATAGACCTTAAATTTCAGTTTTTCTTAAAATAAAAAATTGGATTCCCCAAAAAAACGACCACTTAGTTCCAAGTTATTTACTGAAAAAGATCTGTACCAAATGTTGCATGAAAAAACCGGGTGTCGTATTTGGGATCATGGGTCACCAGGGGTGACCCACTCAAGCGAACCGCATGCACTTGGCCTTTTGGGTGTAGGTTACAGCGCCGTACTCCTCCACAATCTGGTCGATGGCGATCTTGTTGAGATTCTCCAGATAGAGACGCGTCTTTCGGGACTGGATGATATAGCTGATGACGTCGTGCATGTTGTCGAAGAAAAGGAATCCGGCCGTTCCACAGCTGAGGTCCAAGTACCGGAACCTGTTCACATCGCAGGTGCATCCATCGAACAGGAAGTAGATGAAGTCGTTGTTGTTGTGGTACCGGAAGACCACATAGTTGCCCCACGGGGCCATCACGAAGACCCTCTCGGCGCACCGGAATCCGGCCCTCAGCAGCTTGCAGATGCTGTCGTAGCACCCATTCTCCGATCCCACCACCGCCATCGTTTCCGGAATGCGAAGGAGTGCCGGATAATGATTCGGCTGGGCCCGGAGTACATCGTGGGGTCCACTGGATTCCGGACACGCGTCGAGTGGCTGCATCTGCTTCGGCAGTTCCGGGCACGGAGGACATGGTGGTGCCTCGACGGGGGCCACCACTGCCGCGGGCTTCTTGCCCTTCTTTCCCTTTCCCTTGCCCTTCTTGCCCATGGTTAGGAGGGGGTCTCCTCTGGGTCCTCTTGAGCCTGCGGCCTGTCTGGACTATCTGTATCCCGGAACGGACACGCCTCTGTTCCCGCCTTCGAGCACTAGCAGATGGAGCACATATTCTTCCCAAGTCAGCTGCAAAAATAAAACAATCGTATTTATTTTAATTAGTTAAAGAATATTAATACAGAATATTAAACAAGTGTGAGAAATAACTAAATTCGTTACTCTTATTTACAATAATCATATTTATTTTAATTAATTAAAGAATATTAATACAGAATAATAAAACAAGTGTGAGAAATAACTAAATTCGTTACTCTTAATTACAAAAATCATATTTATTTTAATTAATTAAAGAATATTACACCATTTTTACCACTACCAATGAACATTTTAATCTTAGTATGCTGTGGCTTAAAATTAAGTTTTAATTTTAAAAAATATAACAATTCTATGAATTCCTAAGACTCATTTGGCTTACATTTTATGAAGAGAATGACCAAAGATCCAACTAACATGGTACTTAGTGGTAATTCTCTCTCCTAAAGAAGACCTCCACCTAAACCTCAAGTCGACCAATCTCTATTACAAGACTGAAACTCACCTGAAGGACCAATTAATTTAAGCGCGATTTAAATTTAACACACACTCGACACACCGTGGTTTTGTTTCACTATCTTATAGTTGGGCCGAAAGAAAATTTTGAATCTAATCGAGCACGAATCGGTGAAATTTTGTCCAGATTTCTGGTGTAATTTTTTTCCGAGATTTTTTTTGTGTGTTTTTGTGTGTTCACAGACGATTTTACTTCTGATTCTATGCCATCTGGCTGGTGGCAGGTCGACTTACGTACTGACAGTTTCCGCAAAGAAAATTGATGTGAAACAAGAAAGGAAAGCAAACTTCGGGCGGAGCCGAAGTTGATATACCCTTGCAGAATATTCTGTAAATTATATTCTCCAAAATTATTTATATGATGCATTCTTAATACTGATAAAAAATCCCAACTTCCTAAATTTAAAAACACCAAAGTTATGGCATTTCCAATCGTTCAGTTATATGGCAGCTATAAGATATAGTCGGCCGATCCTTATGAAATTTGGTAGGTCAGACTGATTGGCCAAAAATAAAACCCATAGAAAATCCCAACTTCCTAACTTTAAAAACACCAAAGTTATGGCATTTCCGATCGTTCAGTTATATGGCAGCTATATGATATAGTGGCCCGATCCGGCTCGTTCCGACTTATATACTACCTGCAATAGCAAGACAACTTTTGGGAAAGTTTCAAGCAGATAGCTTTAAAACTGAGGGACTAGTTTGCGTAGAAACGGACGGACGGACGGACAGACGGACAGACGGACAGACGGACAGACGGACAGACGGACATGGCTAGATCGACTCTCCTGGTGATGCTGATCAAGAATATATATACTTTATAGGGTCGGAAATGTCTCCTTCACTGCGTTGCAAACTTTTGACTGAAATTATAATACCCTCTGCAAGGGTATAAAAATTTGAAAATCATTGATTCTGTTGGCAGAAAATATAGCAGGCGTAGTTGGAAATGTTGGAGAATTATAAATTAGAAAATACTTATAAATTTGTTTTTTTCTTAAGTTCTTATTTTCCCGTTCTGTTAGTGGAAAATTGTTTGATTTGCAAATTACCATAAGTTTGTTGCCTAGTTGACTGTCAGCTGTCTCCGATTTCAAGTTTTGAAAATTCAATTAGAATTCTGTTAGAAAACGGTGAGTTCCAATCACTGTCCGCCTCCTAAAAAGCCAACTATTAATTTATCTACACTAAGGAAAAGTTACTCAGCCAGTTAAATAATAGACTTAAATAGAAAATTTTCTTAGAGCTCTTCCAATTGTACATATCTATTTAAAAGACTCAAAAGTCTTTATCATAAATTATTGCACCAACAATATTGTAATGGTTTTGTATGAATCTTTTGTATAGAAACCTTGCAGAATTTTTACAAATATTTTTGTTGAGTTATATAACCTATGGAGTCCGGTCATCTATCTCTCTGTTTGCATATCCATCGATCTAGGTGGCTGGACATCAAAACTTGCTGCTGAAGCGCAATTCGGCGAGAGACGAATGCAAATTAAGCAATTGCCCGCGGCCACAACAAGGCAGCTTAATTAAGTTGTGTTTGCCAAGGAGACCCCAGATGCATGAGATATAGTAGCACCATGCTATACTATTTTATACTTTATACAGCCAGCCAGGCGAAGGCAGGCACATATTCTTTGGCAAGCAGGTGGGAAGTGCGATTGCAAAAGGATCCTCGGCCGCAAAAAGTGAATGGCTGTCAAAGCAATTAAAAAATGTGCCCACTGTGCAATCAGACCCTTGACTAAATCCAGGGGAAAGAGGAGTGTAGGGGGGATATGCGGGAAAAGTTCAACATAAATTGTGGAAATATGGAAATAATTAAAACTCAGCGAGAGGGAGCCAAAAATCCAAGAACCTGTTGCAATGTGGCGCAGTGGACAATGCTTCAATGGATGAAGTGCAATTACCCAGAGCCTCAGCTAATGCACAGTGGAACTGTGGCTATTTTAAATGGATTAAGTACATTTTTGGAAATATTCATTTAAGAGGCCATTGGATGTGAATTTAAATTAATCTTAGAAAATTACATTTGCTTGGTAAAACTTTTCCCATCTTACTTTACAGGCTCAAAGTGTTTCTTTAAAAATAATAATAATTTGTTAACTTTAATACTTTTTGTTAAAACTAATACACGAATCCAGAAAGGTATATTGAAATAAACTAAGTATTACCATAAAACTAAAATAGTTTACTTAACCAAGATACAACTACTAAACAAACAAACAAGAGTTATAACCTTAATTGGTAAGTATTTTAAGCTAAAACCAACAAAATAAAACACTAAAGAAACTTTAAAATAGAAAGTGTTTTTTAAGTTTGATGTAAAATGGTAAAGAAAAACGCATCGCCTGACTGGCGCCGATATTTCACCAAGTTTTTGTGTGTTTTCTGGGTAATTTTTCGCCACAGTGCAATTGGCTTGGTCGCATGCAAATCTATTAGGTCCCAAATTCCCCGGAGATCGCTGACTAAGCCACAAATGACTCTCGACAGGCTGAGTTTTGGTCTAGCCAAGTGGTTATGGCTTTTCTCAATGACTGTTTGTTGGCTCTTGGTCTCGTGTTCCTTGTGTTGAGCTGTGTTTTGTGCCTGCCTATTTTTCCACCTTTTTTGTTTGCCCAATTTGCGTCATTAATTTGTTTTGGCGCTCTAATCAAACGAAGCCGGCGAATGGCGTTACATGTTCATGGGAAAATTAATAAAGAAGTAAAAACAAATAATTGTATATGCAAAATATTCAAAAACTATTGGAATGTCAAAATAAAAAACAATTATTTTTGAGCTCTGGAGTACATTAGAAGCAGGATACGCACAAAACCTGAAGCCATTAAAAAGCAGGATAAACTCTTAGTTAAATAAATAAAACAAACGCCGAAAATAATAATGACCATTATAAATGCAATAAGATACAAGTCACATGCTTTGCATAATTCCACGAAATTTATTCCCCAAATGATGCCCATATACAGATAAGCACGTGAGATCATGCTCTGCGAATTATGCCTGGTATTTTCTGTGTATTCGCGAAGTTGTCATGATGATGACACCGCCACTGCAATCGCAACCACACATATCCAGTGGGTTCAGTGGGTTCAGTGATGCCTCTTGGTGCCTTCGGTGGTTCCAAGCGAATCCGAATCCAGTGGGGCACACTTCTTATACGAGTATTGCTTCATCCGAAAGAAACTCTCGGCTAATGGGGCAACTCAACCTGTCTGGCTGGCGAAACGTGAGTCGGCAGGTTTAGGACACCCATTTGGAGGTATCTCCAAATATATATGTATATATGTATATATATACTTGTGGGTGCTCATCTGTGGAATTATATAACCAGTTGCTAAACAAACGAATGATAACTGGAGGTAATTAGTTGTCATTCGATGGGAAAGTATCTAAAAGGCTGGGGACCACTTAAATTCTTAAGCCTCAGAATAATATCTTGTAAAAAACATATATCACTATATGAAAAATATTAAATACATATCTTAAATATCAAAACCATTTATAACAATAAAATAACTCTATCATTTAACTTGAATTATATTATTTGTATTGTCTTTCTTCTTTAATTTATTTTCCGCCCTAATAAAATAATGAATTTAACTCTAATCTGAATATTAATCTAAATCTACTATATATATAGTTTAAAATGCCATATTTTTTAAATTTTTTTGAGTTATTGTTTTCAAATTAAATAATATAAAATTTTCCAAATAAATGAACCTATTGAACTCCCTAAGCTTATCTCAGTATAACATTCCTATTTATTACTTTATTCACCCAAACGACTGTTTAATTATAAATACTTGTATAAATTAAATTGATTTTTATGGACACAGATCAAGGCTTAAAGTTTATTATAGTTTTTAGCTTACAAAGTTGTGGGCTTAAGCAGCGACTTCCACCAAAATAAGCTTTATGTAAAAAAGCAAGCTTTCTTGGCGTCGCATGTGCTGTGCTGAATAAGTTTATGCTGAATGTTTTTGTGAAGGGGAAATGCCGCATAATTTATGTGGGAATATGTGGGTGTTTCCGAGCACCCACTCATAACTTCCCCTCTTTTCTTTTGGAAAAACATGCATCTTATTTCTCAGCTGGCAAATAAAGAAGGTTCCTTTCCCGCAGACAGATGTCCCATCTTTCAGTTCCTAAAAATGGTAATTCCCAAAAACAGAGATAATCGAACCTCCGATTACTGGGCCACAAAAGTGCAACGAACTGAATGTCGACGCCAGCGAGTCTGGGCCAAGTCAAAATAAGAACGAGGACCAAGTCATTGGGTCACGGGCCAAATAAAAAAATAAATAGCCAAAGAGTGGGGCAAAAACTAGAGGAAAAAACTCCCTGGCGCCAACAAAATTTTTATTGCAGCTCTCGAGTGCAGAGCAAATGGTTTTGGGTGGTTTTTCGAAGGTGGTTCTTTTTTTTGGGTGGTGCAGGTGAACCCACTGCAAAAACAAACAATATGCAAAACGCAAATTCACAGGCCAAGTCAAACAGAAGAGTCTGGTTTTCCAGGGCAGCCAAAAGGTTCAAGTTGTTCCCTTTAACACACAAATAAAAAAAGGGAAAGGGAAACCTTTGAGTTATAATCCCAAATTGTATCTTTAAGTTTGGGTCGCCATTCGCCTGTTTTACGAGCTTCCTGCTCAATGAAGTTGTCCCCGTAAATCCCCGCAACCTTTTCCCTTCTGTCAGTCTGCTCTTTTCGATGACCAAAAGTTAATACACACACACACACCGTGTATACAGGTGCGATTATCTTTATATCGATTTGAAAACTTATTTTGTCGGGGTCACCAATTCACTTTGAAATACAATTACTCTCAATTAACACTGTAATGAGGCGCAATCGGCAAAGCCGGGGAACTTATCTCAAAACCCCCCATGGGTATTGAAACTTTTGTAAATATGTATGTCGTTTGAGGTAAACTTTTTTTCGGGGTTTGGTTTAGGTCGGCAATTCAAGTTTGGTGTGAGAATTTAAGTATTCACTTTACATTCCTTCCTTAGAAATGTAAGAAGGTATATTGTCACTTGAAGATGCCGTAATAATTCAATGCATTGTTTGACAGGGAAATGCTTTACATAAGGATTAGTCATTGAGATTAGTCGGTTAACCTAATTGCCCGCCATTTAAGACCACCAATTTCAATTATTGCCAATTGCTTCAATTGTCTTTTAGCTAATTGCGCACTTTATA